CCCCCCCCCCCCCCCCACAATAAAAATTCCTTAAAAAAGGCACTGAAGTATCATGATTATTAGATTACACTAATATCGAAGGAATTAGACTCATTTCCGAAATATCGCATACTCGAACCGATCTGACCGCGTAGATCAGTTGGCAGAGAATTGGGCTAGTATTCCAAAGGTCGTGGAGTCGAATCCCACCTTGGCCAGGCATATTTTCAAGCCTGCCCGGTGTGGATACTGCACACTCAGAGTAACATCACAAGCATCTTATTCACCTGAGTACACTACACCAACACAGCAAGTATCACAACTATAAATCCTTTTAAAGTGCCTATGTCATGATTTGTGTAATTTATTATTTGTAATCATTGGTATATTTTATGAATTTGTATATATATTTAAAAATCGCCTGTCACTTTCATGTTCAAAACTACGAGCAAAATTGAGAAAACTTAAAAATTTCACCGCGTATGTGACAGCAGTTTCCAAGCATCAAAATTAGGCCATTTTAATAAGCTTTTTTCCTTTTTCAATGCAGCTTCTAATACTTAAAAACGGCCATTGACTCGTCGCTTGTTGCTACTAGTAGGCTATCACTAATAGCCTACTAGTAGCGTAGCCAATCAGAACGCAAGATACATGATACTATAGTTGGTTTATACTCAAATTCTTAATGGTCAGTCTTGCATTCGCTGTCTATAAAGGTTACGTCATGCAAACACTATATGACGTCAATGTACATCATTCTTCCACTCTGTGCCGTCTGGGCCCCCACATTTTATGCTAATGATGATCGGTAAATACCAGCTCATGCGGTCAGATCAATCTGCGGTCAAAAACCACCTACATATATAGCAATCACGTTCGCTCCTTAATCAAGGGCGGTGCATGATCCATAACCATTACTTACCACTGGACAAGTGCAATATCCTTTGGAATTTAATGCGTCCGTTCAAATGAAGGACACGTGAAATGCACATTACACGATTTTATTTATCTACTGCACATTGTGAATGGCTAAAATGGTAATGTATTTAAATTTATGAACTACATTTCTATCTTATACCTACCTCTTACTTCCCTTTTTCTGTAAACAATTTTCATATAGACAGAAAATGAAGACGAAAAAGAAAACTACGGGAATAGAAATTCAGGTATAATGATATCGAATATAGCTATTATAATTCTTTAACAGCTATGTCTGAATCAAGACAGTACAAAGACTTCTTATTAAAAAGTTTATGTTAACTTGCGCACGAGAAGATAGCATTTAAATTGATCGTTAGCAAATTCAGAACTTGTCAAAATATTAATTAAACAAATTATTTGCATAGACAATAATTATGAAGTGAATTTGTGTCCATTTATAGGTATGTTTCTAGCTTTGGTGTACCACTTTTCGAAAGTTGTACTATGGGACCTCAATAGCCACCGACACTTAAGGCTTGGTTCACACTGGCGTAATTCATCGACGATCCATTGTATTCTTTTCCGACAGACAAAGCGTTTTACACACTAATCACCACAGACAATGGAAATCCCCGATTCTTACGACCAGTGTGAACCAGGCATAAACCATCTTGTATCTACAATTTCTTACCGCATTCGTAGCTTCTGGCATTCGTTGCATCGGGCCTTATTCCCCTTCTTCAACCGTGGCCACGGGGAAAAGTGTCCCCTGCTCCACTCTCGGTGAACCTGCGCATGCTATTCAATCAGTATATTTCTTTCAGGTGATTCGCAGAAGACACCATCAGTTCTAACCAGTACCAATGTGATACCAATGATGTCGTCGTTGGTTGGAAATCTGGTGTACTCTTCTTCGAAAACATCGTTTGTCGATATTACAACGTCTATCTCACCTTCCTCCACCAATCCTGTCCCTTTCTGGACCTCAAGTTCCCAAATTTATTCTTCTACGATTCAAACTACACTCGCAAATGATACAGGTATTCAAACATATATCTCTATCGTTAATACAATTTATTACTTTATTATGTATACATATGACCACAGAACTTACTAATGGTAAGGCCTGTGATATAGGCTAGACAATTAGTTATGCGCAGGCATATCTATTAACACAGAGTGTCAAGATATAATGGTTTGGAAGCCCGATAAGGTACAGTTCAACATCAAACGAATGTCTTCTATTTTGTTTGCTTTGCTTTGCTTATGAAATCAGTATATTTCTTTCAGGTGATTCGCAGAAGACACCATCAGTTTTAACCAGTACCAATATGATGCCAATGATGTCGTCGTTGTTTGGAAATCTCGTGTACTCTTCTTCGAAAACATCGTTTGTCGATTTTACAACGTCTATCTCACCATCCTCCACCAATCCTGTCCCTTTCTGGACCTCAAGTTTCCAAATTTATTCTTCTACGATTCAAACCACACTCGCAAATGATACAGGTATTCAAACATATATCTCTACTGTTAATACAATTTATTACTTTATTATGTATACATATGACCACAGACCTTACTAATTGTAAGGTCTGTGATACAGGCTAGACAATTATTTAAGCGCAGGCATATCTATTAACACAGAGTGTCACGATATAATGGTTTGGAAGACCGACAAGGTACAGTTCAACATCAAACGAATGTCTTCTATTTTGTTTGCTTTGCTTTGCTTATGCAATCAGTATATTTCTTTCAGCTGATTCGCAGAAGACACCATCAGTTTTAACCAGTACCAATATGATGCCAATGATGTCGTCGTTGTTTGGAAATCTCGTGTACTCTTCTTCGAAAACATCGTTTGTCGATTTTACAACGTCTATCTCACCATCCTCAACCAATCATGTCCCTTCCCGGACCTCAAGTTCTCAAATTTATTTTTCTCTGATTCAAACGACACTCGCAAATGATACAGGTATTCAAACATATATCTCTACCGTTAATACAATTTCTTACTTTATTGTGTATACATATGACCACAGACCTTACTAATTGTAAGGTCTGTGATACAGGCTAGATAATTATTTTAGCGCAGGCATATCTATTAACACAGAGTGTCAAGATATAATGGTTTGGAAGCCCGACAAACCTGAAAGCCACAACATGGAAGACCTTTGTTTATTGTTGAACTGTACCTCACCGTGCACAAATCCTTTGTCTCATTGAAGTTCATTATAATTATAAACGTGTAAAATTTAAGGCGGTTTCCTGTCACGTCCCCCTACTAGGTTGAGGTTTGCTTAAGTGCGCTATTATTTTGTCCCCGAGCCGACGGCGAGAAGCGCCGTGCGAGGGTACTAATTACCCCCGGCTATTTACATCCGGGGAGACGAAAGCATTAGCGAAGTCTAAAGGTCATCAAATATCGCGGGCGTAGGTCACTGTGCGTGGGTGGGTCATCCTCACTGATCTCAGAAATATGGCGGACTGTCGTGAATAGCGAGCACTGTGATTGGTCCAATTTAAAGTTTGCATTATAACGACTGCATGACGACAACGAAATAGCAAACATTTCTTGATTTGATGACTGATGAATTTTTTGCAAATATATTTCAGTGTTGCTCGCATTTTTGCAAGATTTTGTAAATTTCGAGAAAGAAAGTGCGAAAGAATCAGCTAAAAGAAGGGAGCCGACGTTAACGACGGTAAGTTTGTTTTAAATATTGATTTTATAATTGCTTTAAAACCCGACGGCCTTTGCGTATATGAAACAACTAAACAAGGCAGCATATAATTTCATTGTAACTTTAATATTGATTCTCTTTTTTATTATATTGAATTTTTGACATAAATAAAAAAGAAAGCAAAGTTATTTGCATGCGAGAATTTGAAATCATTTTATTGCAAACTCAAAGTTTATCGATAAAGCCATTTAATTAAAGGCAGTTTTATAGTTTTATAAAGAACGCTTTAAAACGTTTTGCGAAGCGTTTGTGTTGAATTTTACCTAAAAATTAAATTGAAGATTATATTATGTATAATATCATACCTACCATATATGTGTTTGGGGAAATTGATAAATTTGTAATTAAAAGTGATATTTTTAGGCGATTTTTTATTTGTAAGAATATTCTTAAAAAATTATCGTGTTACCATAACAACTACTTTAGATACTTCATGTTCGGAAAATATAATGGTTTTGTCAGCAAGGCGAGGGTTTCTGCATGCATGTATTTTCTAGTATACAATCTATTTTCAAGTCAATTTTTGCAACCATATCTTATTTGAAATGTTTTAGTTAAGAAGTGAGCGCTCGCGTATAGGTTGCTTATTGTGCCATGATACTCATATTAACCTATAATATCTCCATAAATTAAGGAATTCAAATATATCCTTCTATAAATAAAAGTTAAACGTGAAAAACTTAAAACCTTTTTTAGTAATTTCTTTCAATTCAATATAATAGTTAAAAAACGGAAGAAATATTGTAAGTTTTCAAAATATCCTTCGATGACCTTGCGAAAATTTTTGAACCACTCCCCCCATATTTGTCCCCCTCCACCCCACCATCCTTATTTTTTCCTCGCGTATACCTATGAACATAAAGCCTAGTTTCCGTGAGGTCGTTAGCTGTCGTTACCTGTCTTTCGGGGTCCTTGGAGTAATCTTGAAAGACCGATAACGACCGAGTGAAACAGAAAACGACAGTGTCGCTGGGATAGAACAGATCTCAACGATATAAAACGACAGAAAACGACAGAATTCTTCCCATAATGCTGTTTGTTCCCAATTCAAAATGGCGGATACAGATGGGGTTATTCACTATTCGGACGAAACGTTTATGGAAGAAGTACAAAATACGAATGCCATTTTAACAAATTCAGCAAAGAGTTTCGTGATAAGTACAAAAAAATTAACTGTTGGACAAAAGTAGCTACTACATTTAGTTTGAATCCAGAAGAAGCAGAGAAAAGGTTTAAGAACCTACGTTCGGCTTACACAAGATTTCTGCGAAAAATTAAGAACATGCTGTTGGGATCAGGCAGAGATGACCTAACAAAACACGAAACCTACAAAGGAATGGAGTGGTTAAGACCATATATCGATCATCGCTCGTCAAAAACAAACTTACACAAAGCGAAGCGGCAAAAAGTTACGAACGTAGACGTACTTGCAAAAGCCGACTCTGAGTCTAAGACAAGAGGTGCAAACAATACTTCTATTGGTTTGAATAGCGACGAAGAGCATTCGCTAACTGAAGAGACATATTCGATTGAGGGTATGCATGATTTAGTTGATAAAAGTGACGTACAGACATTGCGTGATATGATTTCTGAAACTGATGATGACATAACTATTGGTGACAAGATTGATGCTGACTTTGTACCTAAATCCAACAAAAGTAAAGGAATGAAGGAATCAAAGCGCCAACAAAAGTGGAAATGGACAAAGTGCTTTACAATGCTGCAAAGTCAATTTAAAAGAAACTAAAGATGAGCATGGCCCGGTTAAATTTCACAGCAACAATGCTATTGGGGAAGATGATGAGGAAACATTGTTTTGTCGCAGTTTGATACCAAGGCTTAGAAGAATACCCCGTGTGCATAGAGGATTGGTAAGACTTGAAATTGAACAAATATTTTACCAAGTTGAATGATCTAACTTACAAAACAACAACTACAATCAAGGATTGGGTGTCAAAGTAGTCAATCTACATTTCATTTTATCACACATGAAGATAAACTGAACGTCCCAAGAAAAAAAAACTGAACAGTAAGTGCTAAGCTATGTACAAATAGCTACAGAACATTATTTCTGTTGTTGTGCAATGCAATTAGACCTCTAGTCTTGTTTTGTTTTGACAATATTTATTAACGTTATAGAAATTCTTAGTAATATATTGTTAAATGTTGTTAAAATTTATATTTATTATATGTTACATTTCACAACAATGAAAATTTTTGAATTTCATTATATTATAAATTGTGTATATTAAAATATTAAATGTTCATTACATGGTTAAACTAGGGGGGACTCAGAGACTGTATACCTCCGCCCGCTACTCGGAAGTGAAACGCAACCTTGGAATTTCCTAAGAAATCCACTTTGCAATTCTTAAGCATAAAAGATTTTAGGCCCCCGCGAATTGAAATCGAATTGCTAATAGATCATATTACTGTTGTTGTACTGTACTGTACAGTACTTGTAACATAGAACTTATTAAGTGTCATTAAATAAATGCATAAATTTTACTTTATGCACTCGCGTATGCAGTAATTTTGACAGTTGTGCTATTTTAAATTCACAGGCAGCTAAAATCTTTTGTCTTTAAAACAATGACGATTTCTTGGGAAATTACGAGGTTGCGTATTTTTTATACACCCTGTATTGAAGTAATCTAATGTTATTAGAATTTGAATGGACTGGCACTTTGCTGAACGCAATAATGCGTAACTCCGTAAGCCTTGTTTTAGACATTGAATTTCGATATAAAATACAATAGATAATGAAAGCTGAAGCTTAATGAGGTTTATCATCTCATTATTGTCTTAGTACTGCGTGCATACATTACACACGTCCTAATTACACATTCAGTGAGTTTTTTTAATTGACCGGGAAAAGCAAGACAAAATTTTATTCATTTCTCGTTCAATTTTTAACCAAATTCAACCAAATTTTAATCAATTCTTCCTTAGCCGATGTGAAATGCATTCAAAAATTTCGTATGAATATGTTGGTATTTCTTGAGTTGTCGTGCTCACAGACAAACACACACACATACACACACATACAAACCCAGATGATTACATAACCTCCTGGCGGAGGTAACAAACCCAGATGATTTCATAACCTCCTGGCGTAGGTAAAAATTCATAATTACACTGATTGTGTGTTGCTATTTGTTATTTTCTTCTTTTGAGTATTAATTAAGATTTTATAATCATTGCATCATTCAACATTATGATATAATTAATAATTTTTTGTGATGAAAATTTTCAAACATGCTATGTGCATTACGTCACTTGTCTTAGACATGATTAATCCATTTCTAAAACATAAGGCAGCCCTATATAAAGATTGTTTTCACTCAATTGATAATTGTAGAACGCTGATTCTGCATTACGAGGACATTCCATTGCGATATGCTTCGCATCTAATGCACCAATGCAATGCGGAAAGTTCCATTCTCTTTCAAATTCATCAGTAATATTAGTCCATTGTTGTTCTGTACTTGGTGATTTAGGTAATCCTGATTTAGTGCGGTCCATAAAGCGTTGCAAGTTTCTTTCACAATATTATATACAGTAGAACGCTCAATTCTGAAATAAAATGCGTGACTTTGTTGGAAGTCACCCGTGGCAAGATAGCGTAGGGTAACTGCAAGACGCTCGATTGTGGGGTAACATGCAAGACGCTCGGTGATTTGCAGTGCTTTTTCGCAATGAGTGGTCCAACAAGTGATAACACATGGTCAAAACTGTCCGGTGACATACGGAAGAATCTGAAATTTATACTAAATAAGCATGGAATTTTTCACTAAGTAACAAATAACTTATTGTAAAAGATAAAAGTACGAACCTGAAGAAGTATTCTCTGTTGTGCAGACGAAGTTCTTCGGACTAGTCTATGGTACGCACCAAGCTCTTCTCGCTTCTGAAAAATTTCTCTGACCCAGAAGCGGTGTTTTTCCTTTTTCTTTGTTGTCGCCTTATCGCAAGGAGTATACACAAATTTAATTGAAGAGGAAACTCCCTGTTAAGCGCCGCCATTTTATTTTTCGCGCCGTTAAGAAGACTGCCTAGAGACTGACAGCGACACTGTCGTTTTCTGTTTCACTCAGTCGTTATCGGTCTTTCAAGATTACTCCAAGGACCCCGAAAGACAGGTAACGACAGCTAACGACCTTATGGAAACTAGACTTACTCTTGTAAACGGTTAGAATTCGTCGCCACAGATTGACGTCAATAATTTGCCAATAACGAATTTGGAAAGTAAAAATTTCTATAAGGACTTTAATTTTGAGCACCATAATTACAAATTTTCCCAGCCGGTGGTTTGCACAATCCCCTGGAAACAGAACAATAGCATCATGTGTCTTCGCGAAAGTCATTTATTTGCAACAGTCGTGAGTTTAGTAATTATATAATTTAGTCGTTAAATTAGGTCCAATTACCTTTAAACACACGTGGAATTGAGTTTTTTTATGCAAAATTGTTTTCAAAAACAAGTTGATTGAACTTTTTTGTTTAGTTATTTAAGCAAATTCGCGATTGTGCATGTGATAATGTCATCGCTGTATTATTCTCGCTGTATTATTATCGCTTAAAAGATAATTTTCTGTTGTAGAATTGTTTTGTTCGATATAATAAAACACTTATTGGATTCATCTTCGCCTAATATGGCAAATTAATATTAAGACTCGACTTTAATATTAGGCTCAAACTTTGGTCTCGTCCAATATTGCAGTGTCGACTTCATATCTTGCCTTATTTTTTATCAGTGAAAATGAAGCAATCTGATTGGCTGAGGAGCCTTTCAGAGCGGGCCGGTTTTTTGCATCCGGCCCGCTCTGAAACGCAACTGCCCGCTGTGAAATGCAACTGCCCGCTCTGGTTTTCGCGCTAAAAACCGAGGAGTGAAACAATTTTTAAACGAAAAAATCTGCCAAAAACGTTGGAAAATCACAGCCTAACGATAGTCAGAATACGAAAATAAATTGCATCAAGCCCTAAAGACTTCATACTAAGCACGATGTTCACTAGAATTGACAATATTTTGATATAGAAAGGCGACTGAAAGTCGGAAAGTTATTTGACATGTATAAAACGTACGTCGAGAAAACTATATATTTTTTAAATGCTCATATATTCGGCCACTTAAAAGCTAAAAAATTACAGCTGAATCAGATATTGTGAAATAAATGTCTTCCCATTTATTAATAAAAGAAGGTTTAACTTAACTGCAGCAGTGAAAACAAGTCACGAATATATTCTCTGCCCATTTGTGTCATGCATTTTTCACTGACATAAATATTGTAAACAAAGTAAAAATTTGTTTTAAAAAACACTTTTTTCAAGCATATTATCGTGAAACGACAAGCAAAAATACAAAAATATAAAAATAACATACCTTTTTCAGGCCTACTCTGGGGCGGTAAATCGCCTTAAATCGCCCTAAATCGCCTAAAATCGCACTAAATCGCGGGTTAAAATTGTCGAATTTCTGCTAAATAGCCTAAAATCGCCTAAGATCGCTTAAAATCGCCAACATGCATTCTGCTAGATACATTCAGTCCATGTACTCAAGTTTATCAATTGCTGCTATTTTACGGGCAAATCATGTAATCCAGGTGCTTTGCAATGAAAGTAATGCAACATGAATTAGCAATCAAATAAGTGGATTAGGCTGACAATATTTGGTCACTCAATAGGCAACAGGATTAGGCTGACAAAAACAGAGCCTTTTCTGCTTTATGCAGACTTTACAATAATTAGGTAATTCTGGGATCTGAAAGACCCATAGATCCGATACACTGCAAGCAACAAAATTGAGCTAGTTACCAGAATGAGCTAATTTCATTATTGGTGTAAATGGAGACTGGGCTACAATTTATATGGACTATGGAGGCTGGGCAACAAATTAATCTATAATCTAGCTACATTACTGTTAAGCCTTGTTCACATGTCTGCGATATGCCTGCGACGTCATTGTTTACAGCTGTTGATGCATTCTTTTGTGAATTATTTGGTTGAACTGCTAAGACAATAGCCCGCCGACACATCGCAGACACATGTGAACCAGGCTTTAAGCCTGGTTCACACTGATCGTAATTCATCGACGATCTATTGTATTCTTTTCCGACAAAGAAAGCATTTTACACACCAATGATCACAGACAATGGAAATCCCCGATTCTTACGACCAGTGTGAACCAGGCATTAATTAGAACAACAGTAGGAAACTGCGAAAGTCAATGAGTACGAGTGTTGATTTATATAATAAAGTCATCGTGCAATTTGTGCACTGTTGCATGTAAGATCGAGCACTGCATTGTATACAATGGTTATACTTCGAGATGTGCATGGTTATACTCTAGCTCCTAGTTATAATTATAGTGGCTATCAAACGAAAAATATACGTGAGGTTATGAGCAATTTGCAACTCTCGTCTATTAAATTTTCC